GCCTGCAGCCGGCGGCTGGACCTCCGACGTCTGCGGCGTTGCACCACCAAATCTTCTTTGGTCCGTCTCCTGCTGGCGTTGACTTCGGGTACGGACACCCTCCGTTTCCTCCTTAGGTAAAATCGGCATGATTTTATCCCACTTCTGACACCAATGGTTACGAGCTTGAGGTTCGTGAGAATAAAAATTGCCGATAGAATTACCTAAATTAACACTTTAATTCACTTTACACTAATTAAAGTTAAAAACACTAATCATTAATCTATTCATTCTTAACACTGATTCACTTTATTCCGCTCCGAAGCTTCGCTTGTCTCGCCAACTTCACTACTTTTCCGACCGCATCTTGCAGCGCCTATAAATATAAATTAGCACCGAAATATCCAGAATATTCAAGTAAACACGCGCAAGGTACCGAGAGTTCGAGTTTCAACTTCTACAAGTTTAGTTCTTCGGTTCGAGACTAGATGGCGTTGTCGGTTGAAAGATTAGTGATGTCATTTTCTGGAAAGCTCCCCTCGCTCTCGTCTCTGACACTAGATGGCGCTAGTGCCGTCGACTTAGGCGCGTAACAATATTTTTTAAAATATCGAATTTTCGATATATTAATAATTATAAATATATCAATATTGGAGTTTTGTATATAAGTTTATTCATCGATATATTGAAAATCCGATATTTTAAAAAATATCAACAGTTTTAGTTTGAACTGATCAGTAGGAATGATCAGTTGAACTATCCGTGTGTGGCGTCCATAACTCTAAATCTAAAAAGTGTTGGTATAATATAAACTAATAATAATATTATAAACTTAAGACCGTAGGCGGTATCTACTTTGTTGAATTTGTATGGTGTAGTTTTTTTTTTTGCGGACGAACTAAAATATGTCCCATTGTGGAGAAATTCATACATTTTAAATTTTGTAAGTAATTGAATAAATATGAAAAAAATATGAAAGTAATTTAGTTGTATGGCTTTCAAATTTATAGCAGTATTAAGGAATAAATCTTAATGGAATAGTGTCTTCAGATTTTGATGTATTATCTTGTATCTTTTGTAAGTGACTTTTTACATATATATATGGCAGTTCAGTAGCTACAAAAAATCTGCTAAGCAATATATATATATATATATATATATATATATATATATATATATATATATATATATATATATATAATAAACACAAGTCCCGACTCACTCATCAACGCCCAGTTCACCTTGGACCTAAAAAGCTGAAATTTTGCACAAAGTTTCCCTTTATGATGTATACAAGGAATAAGGAATGATATTTTGAAATTCAACGCCTAAAGGGGTAAAATGGTGGTTCAAAATTTGTATGGCGAAACAATATTAAATAGACAATTTGATTCGAAACTTCGTAGGAGTACGCCCACAAATAAATAAGCAAATACGTCTTTCGTGATTTCCGAAAATCAACCCCTTAAGGGGTGAAATGGGGTAAATAAACCTAATAATCGACATAGGTGGCGTAGGTTAGGTTTTATGGGACGTTGATTGCGAAAATGGCAAGTGAAGTCTAAGACTGCAGACATGACATAAAATTAATTAAATTGTTTTCCAATACAAACTCTGAACTCCCGTTTCACCACTATGGGGTGACTATTCAATTCGAAGCTTCGTAGGTGTACTCCAATAAAAAATAAGTAATTATAAATTTTTAAACTTCAAATAAATCATTATAATATTAATTTGAATTAGTGTTTTATTTGTGATGGAGTATACTCACTACAATATGTACCATAATTTACCCCAAAATTCGATAATTCTAACATCGCTTCGCTATAATTTCATTTACCCCGATTTTTCAAAACCTTACAAAAATAAAATTTAGAGATTTCGAAATAGTCTCAAAAAAAGTAAAACGCAAAAAGAATTTTGAAAATCGGTTAATATTTATCCGAGGTATCAAATTTTCAATTTCTAATTTAAAATAAATTCAATTATTCCCACCTATTAAGAAATTTCTGCCTTTTTTGGGAAATTTGCTTCAGTAACTGGATTTCAGTCGCTTCCCTGACAGTATATAAGCAGCACGAGAAAACGGGCCTGCCCCCCCCCCCCCCGCCTAACAAGCTTTCGGCTGACCTGAACTGCCTCCTGGTGGCTCAGGCCAAGCCTACTTAACACATCTCGTAATATGCCTTAGTTTGACACACTTCTAAGTGGCTATTCGCCGCTTGCGCCCTCCTTTCTACCAAGGAGGGTCGCGTCGGTTTTCGACTTAAAGATCTCTCGTCAGATCGATAAACCAATCCCTAAAGGTGGTGTTTAGTGGGTAAAAGTCTCCACATAACCACGCTGCCGGCTACATGGTATACTATGAGCATTCACCACCTCCCTCCCCCGGTACCGGAGGGTAGCCCTTATTGCTTCGGGCGCAAAAAAAACCGGACCTACCCTACTCATTATAAATCCAACATTTGTCTCAATAAATCGTGTAGCCCAAGCGCTGCGATCGTTTACGGTACAATTAAACAGTACTTTGTAGTCCAAAACTACCTTTTTAAAACTGTGCTTTTAAGCGCAATTTATTGTGTTCCGAATTTCTAAAATTGATACACTAAATTTCTAATACTTTCAATTTGATTTTCTATTGCTTTTTTTATAAAGTCAGCATTTCAGCGCAAAACACTTTTGTTTGTCATTATAGTTTGTCATTATTGATACATATATAGATTTTGTTTGTCATATATAGATTTTGTTTGTCATTTATCATAATGACTGTTGAATTTTGATTGAAAGTTGATGGAACTATGGTGCCTCACACCGTAGTTACTATAATTGGAGATGAAGGCTGTTGTGACCAGAGAAATACGCGAGCAAATCGTTAGCCATCTGGTAGCCAACTGGAAAGAGTTTGCCATTATGTACCATGTCATTAACGGGGACAATTACTCCATATATTGACAAGTCACCCTCTTTTACTTATGGTGGTTTACGTGAGCTGGAAGCGGCAGGGCGACTCTTTCCATGTGTCTTTGAAGTTTACCGTAACGGTGAGCAGTATGTAAGTTTTGGTACTGCAGGTAATCCAGTGGGATGACTACGTTTTTCACATGGTCTATCATGTGGCCATTTCGATGTTTACGTACGTATAGTGGCTCAACGTTGGCCACGCTCCCCAGCCAATTAAAATGCAAGAAATTAGAAAGTCGAGTTCACAGTGACCAGTTGAAGTCAGGCCTTCGAACAAAACGGTTGTGTATTTTGCGTGTTACTCGTTCAAGATTAAATTTTTGAGAACGAATACCTCACCTATTCGAAAGAATAAAAGTGGATCAATAATCTATAGCGAAGAGAGAGAGAGACAAGTAAAAAGAATTATTAATGAAAGTTGCCGAAATCGCCCCACAATATAATAAATATTTAATAGATGAGACTGCCAAAAATTAATGGCATTACAATTCTTCGCCTACCGTCTTACCATTGCAAACTTAATCCAATTGTATTGGTTTGAGCCCAAATAAAAAATTATGTTGGTGCCAATAACTCCACGTTCAAAATGAGTGACATAAAAAAACTATTAGATGACGCAATAGCATTAATAGACGCTAATCGTTGGAAAAAGTGCTGCGACCCCGTGATACGCGAAGAAACTACCATGTGGAATTTGGATGACATCATCGAACTTGCAGAACAAAATTCTTTCATAATTAATGTAACTGGAGAATCTAGCGATACTGATTAGTGATTTAAGTAATTTTAAGAAAATTTGTTTCCATTAAACTTAATTAAATGTTTGAAAGAAAAAAAAAGAAAAAAAAGAATTTTTACTCCACTGTGAATACACCTTTACCCTGTAGTTGCACTGATGACTCACTATTTTCTCAACGCGAACGGACTATAGTGAAGTGGCCGCGATAATATCCGAGCTCACCTCCTCTTCTTCACGTCACCATTTCGTCGCCAAGAGGAGGAGAATTAAAATAATTACTATCTCGCCGCCGCCACCAGAACCAACTTGTGACTCATCTCTTTATCAATCATCATCTCTTACTATTCCTATCAAATGCTCTAAAAAACGTCGTGCAAGATTCACCAACGCTACTCGGAAGAAACAAGTTCAAAACGCTTCTAAAAAGTATGCGCAAAAACACCCAGCAGTAAACTGAAAAGCAGTGGCTCGGTACCAGCAAGCTCACCCTGAGGTGCATCACATCACAGTCTCGATATGAGCAAAATAATCCTGGAAGACGAGTAGAAAGGAAGCGACGTTCTTGGGAAATCAGGGCTCACTCCGGCATGGCATATGGAACACATGAATCGATATTCAGAGTATGAAAACGACAGCACCGTAGCCTTGGGTTCCATGACCAACAAGTGCCGGTAGTGCAATGCTCTTAAGTGGAAGGAGGAGGCACCCGGCATATGCTGTAGTTCTGGTAAGGTGCAGCTCCCGTCTTATGAACAACTACCCGAGCCTCTCTACAGCTTGATAATGAATATACATACTAGAATAAAATAGAAGTCCAGAACATGAACATTTTATGAACGGTGTTCGTTAATATAATAGTTCCTTTCAAATGACTTCATTCGGTGCCAAACAGAAAATAAAGGACGGTTTTATGCCTACATTTAAAGTTCAGGGCCAAGTATATCACTTGGTTGGAAGTTTGTTGCCAGCACCGCAAAGGGAACCACAATTTTTACAAATATATTTTGTTGGCGAAGACGACAGAAAAGTACAGTTGAGGTGTAATAACCATCCTTATATGAAATCTGGCTTAGTCAGGCAACTACAATGATGCTAGACACGTTTAATACTTATGTAAGAAACTTCAAGATCGCCCTGGACAATGTGCCTGCAACGTCTAAAACATTAAAAGTAGTCATTAATGCCGAGAGAAAGCCACCAGATAGCCATAGGGGTCGCTTTAATGCACCTACGTCAAATGAGGTGGTCTTAGTAATGGTTGATCAATAATTTCAGAAACGATACATTATCCTTGAGAGCCACGATAACTCATTGTAGCGCATTAGTGAGATCCACCGTTCGCACGACGCCCTGCAGTATCCTCTTTTATTTTGCCGTGGCGAGGATGAATACTCCATTTCTTTACCTCAGCGTGATCCTGCGAACAATCAAGCACTTAAAAAGACAGTCTCCGCTATGAGTTGCTATTCTTTCCGTATAATGATTAGACAAGGAGAAGATAATCACCTGGTGTATTTCCGTTCCCTTTTTAGTCAGTTTTTATTTGACATGTACGCCAAAATAGAGACGAAAAGATTGAACTATATCAAGAACACCAGGCGCAGCTGAGGGTACATATACTTACGGAATTCCATAGGGAGAGGATGCTGATGGTGAGGAGCTAGGTTAAAAGGTGGTGCTGCCGTCCTCTTTTACCGGGGGACCACGTTATACTCGTATGCACGAGTGTACACAAGACGCCATGACATACGTGCGCCAATACGGCCGTCCTGATCTTTTTATAATATTCGTGTGTAACCACCGATGGAAAGACATCATATATATGCTTTTACCTGGCCAAAAGTCACATGATCGCCATAACATTATAGCCAGGTTATTCCACCTTAAGGTGAAAATTATGATGGTTTTTCTAACCAAAGGCAATCTATTTGGGGCGATGCGTTGCTTTATATACTCGTTCGAATGGCAAAAACAGCGTCTTCCCTATATTCACATCTTACTATGGCTAGAGCAGCGTAATATAGATAAGATAAGATTGACAATGTTATTAGAGCTAAAATATCTGATCCTGAAAAAAAACCTCTGCTCTACGATATTGTGAAGGCCAACATGATACATGGCCCTTGCGGTAGCTTAAACCACACATTGCCCTGCATGAAAGATGGTAGCTGCAGTAAGAGGTATCCTCGACGACTTCTCAAGGAGACACAGACAGGAGACGATGGATATACGCAATACAGGAGGTTGTCTCCAGCTGACGGTGGTTAAACAATAAAAAATAATGAAATTGAGTTGGACAACCGCTGGGTGGTGCCTTACAATCCTGTCCTGTTACGTACTTTCAATTCTCATATTAATGTGGAGTACTGCAGCTCTTTTAAGTCTATCAAGTATATTGGTAAATACGTGAACAAGGGTAGTGATCAAGCAGCCTTTACTATAGAGAATGAGAAAGATGAGGTGAAAATGTACGAAAGCGGCCGGTACATAAGTAGTTCCAAAGCAGTTTGGAGGATCTTAAGCTTTCCCATTCATGGAAGGTTCCCTCCCGTCTTACATCTTGCTGTTGACCTTGAAAACTTTACCTCTAATAACCTGTCGAAGAACCGTGGTAGCTCAGTGGTTAACGCTCGCTGTAAATATAACAGAACGCGAGTAACCCGGGTTCGATCACCTCCGGCACCAATGAAATTGTTAATTGCTGATTTACCACGTGCTCGGCGGTGAAGGAAAACATCGTGAGGAAACCTGCATCTCTGAGGAATAAGAAAAAAAATATTTCGAAGACATGTGAAGTTCGTCAACACGCATTTGGGCAGCGCGGCGGACACTTCCTTGCCCTAAACCCTCTCAGAAATGAGGGTAGGCCTGAGCCCAGCAGTGGGACGTATATAGGCTGTAACTTAACTTAACTTAATAACCTGTCAGAAAAAATAAGGAGTCCACCTCAGACAACGCTGCTTTTTTTAAATCAGCAAAACGGACAATTATGCCAAGACACTGCTGTACTCTGAAGTGCCTTCTTACTTTGTCTGGAACAAAAATAAATTCTCTAGAAGGAAAAGAGGGCAAGTTGTAGAGGGCTGGCCCGGACTGAGAAAAGAGCACGTTCTGGGTAAAGTCTACACCATTCATCAAAACAACACCGAGTGCTACCACCTACGCCTGCTGCTCTATGAAGTTAGAGGACCGACATCTTTTAAAGACATAAAGACTGTGAATGGTATTCTCCATCCAACGTTTCAGTCTGCATGTAAGACTCTTGGATTGCTCGAAGACGACAAGCATTGGGACATTACTTTAGAGGAAGCTGCATTGTGCGAATCTTCTTTGAAACTGTGAGAGCTATTTACAATAATGTCGATTTTCTGTCAACTCTCTGATCCTTTAAGCCTTTGGCTGAAATACAAAGACAGTCTCTCGGAAGACATTAAACGGCAACTGTGGAGCGAATTGCAAGATAGTGCGCAACTGCTCATAAACGAAGTGTACAACAGATGCTTAATATTGATCGAGGATGCAGTGTTAGCTCAAGCAGTACAAAACTTGGCACAAATCTGAGGGAGACCAATTATGACCTCGTGAGAAGTGGTGTCTTCTAATGAGGTGTTACGGATGGATGAACGGCTCTAAAAAAATTAATGACACTTGAAGTTTTTCGAAGGTGAAGAGTATCAGTACAAATCTGTGGACACTTTTGTGCATAGTGCATGTGCATAAGTTGTGCAATGTGGTAGAGGCCATTATATTTACTCGCTGTGCTCGAGGTGAATCGGTGTATATACCTCGGATACCATTTATACCAACGGAGTACCCATTCGAGTTTAAGAGATTGCAATTCCCCCTTAAGGTCTGTTTCTCAATAACTATCAATAAGTCTCAGGGTCAGTCACTGAAAACATCAGGAATTGATCTTAGAGGGGATTGCTTCTCGCACGGCCAGTTAATACGTGGCCTGCTCGAGAGTGAGCTCATCTAACAACTCAGTCTAGTTAGCATCTGAAGACAGAACCTCTAATGTAGTATATGAAGAAGTACTTTCAGGATAGGCTAAAAAAATAATCTTAACCCTTAGGTACTTCCTTAGGTAGGTTTCCTGCGCGAGCGAAGCTGCGGGCAAAAGCTAGTAAATATATATAAAAGATATATTTGACGGTTCCGTTACGGAGTCGGTTAGCAGTGAGTCTTAATGAGTTTAACTGTAGGGGTCGCAGGTTCGACAATCGCACGGAACAAAGATTTATATACATACAAATAATTGTTCCGGGTCTGGATGTTTGTCCTTGTCAAATTTATGTTTTTATGCTAATTGTCCCCACGATAGACTTAGGAAAAATTCGTGGTGTGGAGGTAGCGTTATTATTAAATAGAAACATAAAAGATATGAGCCGTGGTAGCTCAAAAGTGACGTGCTCGCCGTAAACGCGACTAGCCCGAGGTTTCGATCGTAGCCGACACCAATAGAATTCTAAGTTTGATGAATTATCTTTACATTACGAAACTGAATAAACGTATATCAAACGATATCTATTTTATTATAATATATATTTTTCAATTCTAACATATTACTTACCCCTTTCTAGTTTACTCAATAGAATAAAAAAGAAAAGCCGACTTCAATTTACTATAATAATAATTTATACATATTTGCTTCCAATATCGTGGTTAGATCGGATATTAATTCTTATAAACACTATTTCTTAGCACTGACCTCATAAGCTATTATTTTATTGTTACGAGCTTGAGGTTCGTGACAATAAAAATTGCCGATAAAATTACCTAAATTAACACTTTAATTTACTTTACACAAATTAAAACTAAAAACACTAATAATTAAACACACTAATTCACTTAATTCCGCTCCGAAGCTTCGCTTGTGTCGCCGAGTTCAACTCTGCCTCGATCGCATCTTGCAGCGCCTACTTATATAAATTAGCAAAATATCCAGAATGTTCAAGTAAACACGCGCAAGGTACCGAGAGTTCGAGTTTTAAACTTCAAGAAGTTTAGTTCTTCGGTTCGAGACTAGATGGCGCTAGTGCGCCGATTTGAGGCATTGGAGCGCGTAACACTGCCCCCTCCTAAGACATGCTCGTCCCGAGCATTATCGGTCCCATAATAACGCGCTAGGCAATCCACATGGACGATCTTAGGAGTCCCTCTTGCGCCTTTCTGTATCCGGTAGGTTACATCGTTGATCCTGGTCACAATCCGGTACGGGCCGTCCCATTTAGCTTGAAGCTTAAGAGATTTCCCTTTGCTGCGAACTGGATTGTGAATTGGAACCACACAAGTGAACCTTCGTCGAACCCTTTGTTGCTCATTTTGCGGTCATACCGGGTTTTCATCTTTTCAGACATTTGCTGGCCCGATTGTCTGACGTGCTCATAAACGTCATTCATTTTATTCCGCAAGTCATTTGCATAATCGGTTATACTGCGTGGAGCATCAGGTGGTATCCCGGTGATCAGGTCTGCAGGCAGCCGTAATTCTCTTCCAAAGTTTGCGAAAGCTGGTGTCACTGCTGTACTTTCGTGAACAGCGCTTCGATATGACAACAAAAACTGTTGTATGTGCTTGTCCCAATCTCGTTGCCGATTGTCTACAACTTTTGCTAGATATCTCTCCAATGTCTGATTAAATCGTTTAACCATTCCATCAGATTGCGGGTGATAAGAAGTCGTTCTTGTTTTATGAGTACCCATAACTCGGCAAGTTTCCTGGAGTATTTGAGACTCAAAATTCCTTCCTTGATCGCTGTGAATCTCTAAAGATACACCAAAACGACAGAAGACTTCATGAACTAGCTTATCAGCAACTGTTGAAGCTTCTTGATTTGGAATGGCGAAGACTTCTGGCCACTTAGTGAAGTAATCCATCACAACCATGAAATACCTGTTACCGCTTTCACTCTCCGGAAACGGCCCCGCCACGTCAATGGCTATTCTCTCCCATGGTGCACCAACATTGTACAACTTCAATGCACCTCTACTACGAGTCTGAGGTCCCTTTACAGCCGCACAACTTGTACATTTGCGACACCAGTCCTCGACATCGTTTCGACAGTGGACCCAGTAAAACCGTTCTCGGATCTTCAGTAGAGTTCGTTTAACTCCCAGATGGCCTCCTGAATAATCATTATGGTACAACTGTAGAACATCCGGTACTTTAGCTTTAGGGACAACCATTTGTAAATGACAGCTGTCTCCCCGAACATTTTCCCATTTACGGCACAGAACTCCATCCTGAAGCAGCAAGCTGTTCCACTGGGCCCAATAGCTTTTAGTGGTCGAACTCATCGCTGAGACGTCGCTCCACTTGGGCTTGGGAGCACTGGCCTTCATCCATTCCAGGATCGGCTTGATGTCCGGATCTTCCTGCTGTGCACGTTGTAAGCTGTCCTTCCACTCGTTGCTG